AGCATGCTTGGAGGACATGCTACCATGCAACTGTCCACGGGTGCAGTAAACTTCAATGATCGCAACGGCGTGGGGGTAGCTGCCCCGACATGCTATCTGGGAACCTAGCAACAGCAATGCGACTGGCTAGCAGGAACACTGAGGACACTACTCAAGTCTGAAAACACAGTTATGCTGAAACCAGGGCCGAAGATCCAGGTCGTTGACTGTCTGCCCCAGATGAACTCACTCCTAAGTTTTGTTTTCAGCAGAACAGTGATGAAGTCCTTCATTTGTGATGGTGGAATAGGGCCTCATTTTTTCATCAAATAACAGTTGAGATTGTGGAGGTGTGCTAAAGACTATTCAAGATCACACCATGGAGGTTCGTGTTTCTGTAGAATATTGTAAATATTACTCTCAAGAGGTTCATAGATGGGCATTTTTTAAATTGTCCTTGTAAATTCAGAAATATTTCTGTTTTGGCACTAGGGCATTCACCAGTGTAGTGTCACGCGGTGTGAGAAGGCATGGCCCTGACCAGTGTGGCTCAATTGTTTGGTGTTGTCCCACAAGGTGAAAGGTTGCTGGTTCAATTCCTGGTCAGGTCACACGCATGGGTTGCAGGTTCAGTCCTGGTCGGAACATGCATGAGAGGCAACTGATCCATGTTTTTCTCTTACATTGATGTTTCACTCCCCTCTCTTTCTGTCCTCCTTCCCCCCTCTCTAAAAATAAGTAAACACAAATATTTTTTTAAAAGAGAAAGCTTGGTCAAAGTTGAGGACAGTTACCTTAGGAATGAATGTAAGTAACTCTCCTGACACCTGACGTCTCTGCTGTTGTCGAAGGAACCTGGAGGATCTGCTGTTGGCCTACCGTGTGGAATCGTATTTCTCAAAGAATTGTCCATTGACTCCTGCATCAGATCATGCTAGGGGACTGTGAAAAATTCAGCTTCCATAGCTCACTCCTGGCTCACATAATTCTTGAAATTAGGCCATTCTGATGCAACCCAGACATGTGCCCTGACCAGGAATTGAACCAGTGACCTTTCTCTTTGCGGGATGATGCCCAACCCACTGAGCCTTGCTGGTCAGGGTTAATCTCTATTTCTGATGCCCTTCAGGGCCTACAGTCTGAATTGTAAATTTATTCTCCAGCTGACACCACAATCATCATTTTCTTCATCATTGCTACCTTTATAAGTTTATGAAGAACCCTGTAAATAATATCAGATGCTTAATTTTTATCTACTCCCCCAAAGTCCCATTTTCCTGCACTATTTTATTTAATTTTGTCTTATTTTTTCTAAGATTCTTAGTACTTCTCAGCTCTTTACAAGCGTCTTTGTGAAAAAGCACATGGATTTCAAAATAAAAGATTTAGAATTAAAACATGATTTTGCCATTTATTGGTTATGTGACCTTTTCCTAAGTCAAATTTACTGAGACTATAAAATGGGAACAATATCTACCTTATGAGATTAGTATTGAGTATATATATATACATATACATACATACATATATATATCACCTCCTACCTGCCAGGTACTTTACTTGCATTATCTCTAACTTTTGGAGTAGCCACAAGCAGGATTAATTGGAAGGCAAACTCTGAAAGAGCAGACTCTGAAAAGAATCAAGAAGATAGTATGAGATAAATGTCACCAACTAAGATCTGAAGGAAGTTGAGAGTGGTGGATGTTTATAGAAGTATTCAGGCAAAGCGAAACAAAGCAAAGCAAAACAAAACAAAACAAAACAAAACAAAACAAAACAAAACAAAATAACTATAAAGGCCCTGAAAATAGCAAGAACTTTGTACACTCAAAGAACTGAAAGTAGTAGAGAATTCGGAACCATGCAGGGTAAGGGCGAGAGTGATAGCCCATGGAGCCCAAAATGTTATTTTTGGAGACCCTACTGCTCACCTATGAAATTGCCTTATCCTCTTCTTTCTTGGTAAAAGAACCCCAAATTATATTGTTCAGATAACCAAAGGGCCAAGACCTGTGGGATAAATTATGAGTTTAAGCCAATTGGAGCACCCTCCCTGTCTTTTGCTAATGACTGTTTAAGAATGGTCACGGAGCCCAATTTCGACTAACGAGATGTGAGGGAAGGTTGGCAGAAGAAGGCCTCTAGGAAACATATTCACTTTACTTAAAAGGAGAGAGAGGTAGGGAGAGGAAACCTTATCTTTCCTAATTGTTTTTGGATATTTTTGTGTGGAAATGTGATTATTGCAGTAGTTCCTGCCATCTTTCTGCCTCGAGGAAGACATTACTGCGGGAGGCACACTGGGGCTGGCCAGAGGCTGGAGCCTGGAGGACATCATGAGCTGCTGGGCTACCTCTGGAACCGCTTACCTCCAGACTAATTTACTATATTTAATAATAAACATCCTTATCGACGCAGGCACTTTCAGCTGAATTTTTATTCCCTGCTGTCAAAAGTGTCCTAACTGATTAAAGTTATTAAAGAGTAAAATCTGCAGGGCTTTGTAAATCATGTTAAGGATTTGGGATTTAATCCTAAGGGTTATGGAGAACCATTAACTGGTTTTGAGCATGGGGTGACATAAGATATTTGCTTTTCAAAAGGTCACTTTAGTTGCAATGTGGATAATAGCTTGGACAGTGGCAACAGTGGATACGGGTAGAATGAATAAGAACTATTGCAACAGGTCACACAAGAATGCAGTGATTTAAAGTAAGTGCCAGTTGGCCATGGGGATAGAGAAAAATGAAACAATTCAAGAACTACGGAGATACATATTGGAGGCAGAATTCTGACTGTGACTGTGGCTGATTCTATGTGAATGAGAAAGAGGAAGAAATGAAGGAGGGCTTCTAGGTATCTGGGCTGAGCTACCAGATAGATTGTAGTGCCATTTACTAAGATAAATAACTGGAGGTGGGAGGTTACTGTAATAAGTTCATCATTAGACATGTTGAGCTGAAGGTGCCTAAAGCAACTAGGCGGTTATGTCAAGTAAGCAGATGGGCATTTGGGTGGCCTAGAGAAGGTCTTTGGAATATAGATGGTTAACAAAATCTATGTGGTTTTTGAGATTCTTAGGGAAGGAATGAGAAGGGAAAAGATCCTAAGACAGAGTCTCCAGATCTCCATCACTTAGCTTTTCCATGAAGAAAGGCCTGTGAAGGAAGGAGACTGAGAAACAACTGCCTGGAAAAAAAAATGGCCGTACAGTGTTTCTACAAGGAGGGAGTGGTCAACACTGATAAATATAATTGACAGGTCAAGCAGGAAAAGGACTAAAAGGGGTCTATTGGATTTAGCCACATCCAGGCCACCTACCAATGACCTTGGTGATTAAGTAGTTTTTAGATAGATGGAAGCAGAGCAGTTGGTTTGGAACCCAGGTTGGACTGGATAAAGAAGAGATAATTAAGAAATGAAGACATAAAAGGTGGAGAATCAGGTCAACAAATTTGGCCTTAAAGAGGACGTAGGGTGGGAGCAGAGGGACATGTGGCATCAAGAAACAGGTTTTATTTTAAAGATATCCAATTCACGAGCAAGCACCTTAGGTCTTTTCCCTAAATATATCTCAGACCTGTGCATTTCTCACCTTTTACCCAGTTAACTTGCTGGTGCAGGCCTTTATCATTCTCACTTGGACTAATTCACTGGCCTCTTAACTGGCTTCTCGGCTTTTGTATTTTGTTCCTGTCTTTTTGAAACCATTCAGCAGTCAGACTAAATCAAATCATGGCACTCGGAATAAAATCCAAACTCTTGGTCCAGGCCTGTAAAATTGGATATGAGCAGGCCTGTCTCATCCCATCTACATCCCTGGTCCTATATGTTCCAGCTCCACACTGCTTTTTTCTGTTTTGTTGTTGTTATTGTTCTCGCCTCACTCACTGTGCCCAATGCTTAGCAAGCTTCTTTTCCTAAATCTTTGAATGGCTGACTCCTTTTTATTATTCATGACTCTGCTCAAATGTCACCTCATTCAAAAAGTCTTCTCTGACCTCCTTATCCAACCCCCCTCTATGTTTTATCTTCTTCATGGCTCTTATTATCCGAAATGATTTTGTTCACTTACTTATTTGTTGATTACTTATATCTTTTCATTAAAATTCAAGTCTAGGGAAACTGGGTTAAGTTTATGGGATTATTATGTATTATATGTATTATTATATTATGTAGTATTGTATTATTTCTTAGTAAGCACATGAAACTCTATGTCTAAATAATTTTTTTATCTGTATTGATTTTTTTTTGAGAGAGAGAAACATCGATTTGTTGCTCCTTCCATTTATGCATTCATGAGTTGATTCCTTCATGTGCCCTCACTAGGCATCTAATCGCATCCTTGGAGAACTGGAAGTTCCAACGGAGTATCCCCACCAGAGCTGGAGTTTTGGAGGGTTTTTTTTGTTGTTTTGTTTTTTTCCAGTTCTGTGGAGAGCTGCATTTTGCTTGTTGGAAAGTGGGTCCCATTACCAGAGTGGAGTATGGTATGCAGTGGGCACTAAATAAGTCTTATTAAATGCATGAATTAATAAATGACATATTTGGTTGTGTTAAAAAGAGGACGGGACAGAGAATACAAACAATAGTAATAGATCCTGAGCTGAAGAAAGGGGGATCGAAGAATTTAGCATGAGAATTCCTGTTTTGCGTTGGCATTTGATGTGTTGACATTCAAACTGGGTCTTCAGAACCCGCTCCACTACTCCATGCTACCGCTCTATTAATGGAGTATTGATTAGATGACTGAGCTAGTGATTAGTCCTGTCTTAGGAGATGTTCAGTCATCGATCATCTTTGTAGTCTATTTTGATAACAACAGTGCAGGATTAATGGGACCACCACCTTGCAAGTGGATGTTCTCTGATTCCCATAAAGCGTGACCAGACTGCTTTTTCCTTAACTTGCGAGCCTGGGGAAGGTGGATGTGCACAACCGCTTGGAAGGTTCACTGCTGAACCAGGTCCTCTGCTCTGCAGTCGCGGTTTCAGGTTTCAATCCTCGCAGGACCACGAGAAGTTGCAGCTTGCACGGCTCGGTTGCCGCCTCCGCCCCCCGCGCCTCAACCAAGCAGGGCGGCTCTCAAAGGCAATGTCAGACTCCAGCCGCGCACTTCGACTGCCCTAGACCGAGGTTGGGCGCTGCGATTGAGACTGCTTGTGGGCTGCATTTGCTGGACGCGCTGGGAGGCGGCGATCGCAGCTGGGCCGGGACTTCCTTCCTCCACCACAGGACAACAAAACAACCCGGCAGCAGGCACTGAGCTCTTGGCAGCTGTCTGGGTGAGACGCGCAGCGATGGGCTCCGTGCTGAGCAGCGACAGCGGCAAATCCCCGCCTGCCTCGGCCACCCCGCGGGCCGTGGAGCGCAGAGGAGCCCCAGAGCTGCCCGTCACGTCCTTCGACTGCTCCGTGTGCCTCGAGGTGTTGCACCAGCCGGTCCGGACCCGCTGTGGCCACGTGTAAGTGCCAGGGGAGCACGCTTTGCTCGCCCACCCCCGTGGGGCGGACGATATTGAGGGAGCCCAGAGTATGGGGAAGGGATATTAAGAAGATTGCAGGAAGAAACCTGGACCTGTCGAGTGCGGGCCACAGGGAAAAAATGCCCAGTCGGAAGGTGACACAGGATTTCAGTAGGCAAAAACAGCAAAAAAAGCGGGCCCTTGCAGGCTTCCTAGAACTGCTTCCTCCCGAAGCCCAGGTGCGGAGTCCCAAGGATGGGAATCCCGGGCGGCGCGGGACCGCCAAGAGCCAGGATTCGCCAGCTGGCTGGGGAGGATGATCTTGGCAGGAGAACCAGCACCCGCCTTGACACAAGGCAGTAAGCTCCTGAGGAGCACAGTTATCCCGCTGAACTCCGTTAATCCGGTGGTGCCCCCTACCCTCCCCCACCCCTGTCGGTGTTGTTTTTCTGGCTGTGTTCACGAGTTCCAGAACGCCGTTGAGGCTTGACTCTCTTGAGCAAACAAGGACCTGTGCAAATTGTCCTTGCACTCCAACCCCCACGTTCCTTTCCCAATAGTGACATCTATACCCTTCCGACTAGTAAAACTGGAACGTCCGAGTGGTTAACTGTAGTCTTAAGAGTTTAACAACCTGTCCGGGTAGGATCTGGGGCTTGAACATTAGCCCAAAGCCGGTCGGTGGGTGTAGCCATGTAAAACCCAGGAGATTGTGACTACCTGCAGTACGTACCGCTTCCGCACATCGGTAGACGGTGTGGGTAAAAATAACTATCTTAAAAAATCATGTGCTGTATAACTAAAACTGGGTGTTGGCGGTCAGCTGTGGTAGTTTCTAAGAAGAGTTTAAATAAAAACAAAATATATAAAATTGTCACGTTCTTAAATATGTGCTTAATTAACTAGTAGTGGGAGTTTCGCCTGTGAATTTGTGTTTGTTTACTTAGAAGCTTTATTTTCAGGGGTGCAGAGGTAGGTGACTGTGTGTGGGAGCAGGGATTGCATAGAGCAAGAGCAGAAACCCACTTAACATGGTTTGGGGACCGCCCACAAACTATAGTTAGAAGAAGCTCCCGAGCAATAACTGCAGAGACTGGTAAGTGCTTTTGGCTTCCACGTAAAAAAGGAGCACCAAATTCTAAGTGCCTAAAATATTTTCTAAAGGGCTTACATGGTCCTGGACACCTGTAGCCTAGTACGTGAGAAGTGGTTTTCACCACTGAAAAGCCCAGCAGTGAGCCATGAAAATCTTTAGCTTACAAAATGTTGAAATGAGTGTCTTGAGCATAATATTCTGTGGCTGTATTCAGGGCCTGTTGTTTCAGCTTTGTACTTTAAACTCTAGACGGATTCACCTCCTGTCTGATAACTGATGTTTCCCAGCTGTCCAGATGTAGGTCATTGATTTACTATCCTCAGGCCAATATGGAAACCAAGATGATGTTGCATAACAGCATAAAACACATTGATTTGTTCAGGGTAGTAACGGCTTCGTTTAAATTTAGCATTAAGACTTTATAGTTGCACCAAAGATGTACGGTGGTTATCAAGTCTTGAAGATTTCTTTTGTAGACCTGAAATGAGCAGCTTTGCTGTTGGATACTGGAGATTGTTATCTGATTGGAGATTGTTTTCCCTGCTTTGGATTTTGAATGCTATAACTTACTGTATTCAGTGTTTTTGCTTCAGCTGAAGGATAATATACATTTGCAAAATGTTAAGTCTTGTATAATCTTTTTCCTTGTTAGAGTGAATAGAAAACCAGCAACCGGAAAAGTAGTCATGAAGTATAACAAGGGCTGGATGAATGGCCTTCCCTCACTTCACTGTTCTTTGTTTTGACAAATCTATGTCCATTGTTCTGGCTGTGGGCAGAATTTCCATATTCCTCTTTTTGGCAAATTTACTTGGGCCCCTTCCACTTTGTAAATGTTAATTAGAGTTCCTTCTGCACTGGAGATGGTGAGTACTGTTAATACCATTTGTACTTCCTAAATCAATTACTCTCTTCCATTGAACTTAAACTGGCACATGAAGAAATGCAAATGAAACCTCTCAATATTATCCTATATTGAAGCCAATTTTCAAACTTGTTGAAATAGGTCATTTATACTAATTTATATTTATAAACCTTTTCAAGCCGAGCAAGTACAATGGTGGCAACAATATTATCTTGAGTGAATATGTATATAGCAATTTATAAGTTGTATGTTGATACAGTGAAAACAGAGGGCTTGATAGACAAGCAGGATTTGAAATTTATCTCTGCTACTAATCAGCTATGTGAGCCCTTTGAATCTGTTTCATTTGTAAAGTAGGATGAGTAATGGAATTTTTAAAAGATTTTATTTATTTTTTTTAGAGAGAGGAGAAGGGAACGAGAAATAGAGGGAGAGAAACATCATTGTGCGGTTGCCTCTCACACATCCCCCACTAGGGACCTGGCCTGCAACCCAGGCATGTGCCCTGACTGGGAATCAAACCAACCATCCTTTGGTTTGCAGCCCACGCTCAGTCCACTGAGCTACACCAGTCAGGCAAGTAATGGAATTTTATGAGTATTTAAAATGTACAAGTAGCCCCTATTTATTATATAGGCTCAAAACATAGTTTGTATTTCCTTCAAAGTCATTTCACAAATTAAAACCCATGAAGGGTTGTTCTTTCTTTTTTAATTTTATTTATTTTTAGAGAGAAGGAGAAAGAGGGGGAAAGAAACATCAGTGCAGTTGCCCCTCATGTGCTCCCCACCAGGGGCCCGACCTGGCCCACAGCCCGGGCATGTGCCCCGACCAGAAATTGAACTGGCAAACCCTTTGGTTCGAAGGCTGGCACTCAATCCACTGAGCCACACCAGCCAGGGCAGGTTGTTCTTTCTTATCTCTATATTTCTTTTGGAATAAACTGGTCCAGAAAAGGTGGACTTTAAGAAGTTCCATTTTAAAGTTTCAGCATCTCAATATGACTTTTATTTATATCACTGTATCAGTTATAAAAATAATACTTGAAAGTGGGAGGCTTCTTTATCTTTGCCTTATCTTCTGTTTTTGCGATGGGGAAAGAGGAAATAAGTAAAACTGTGTAAATGAAACTTAAAGGGAATCTGATACACATTTAAAAGAAGTATTCAGGAATATTCAAAGACATTTGTTATCCAATTGGGTATGGTTGATACAGGGAAAGAAGAAGTCCAAGACAACTCCCAAACAAGTGACAGAGATAAAGGGGGCAGAGTTTAGCTCAGGAGGAACTTGATGAACTTGAGATTGGGCTGGTTGACAGTACTGTAGTCCCATAGGTGATATACAAGAAGACATACCCCAGAGGCATTAGGACACTGGGTTTGGGGAAAGAGATCAGAACTGGAGGTAAGGGAGTTATCTCAAAGGGGCTAAGAAGTTGAAAACTGACCAACAGAGCTAAGGATTAACTGGAGAATACAAAGAGCCACATCTCTATTGAACTGATTGGATTATCTAAATTGCTCTATGTTTCACAATTTGTCCATTTTTTTTCATGCAGTGGTTCAAGATAATTCTGAAATGCTCTGAAGTAAATGGATTGAAACGTTCCATTTGTGGTCAAGTATAAGCAATACAGCCTACATCAAATTAGTGATTCTCTACATAGAGTCCAAAAATCAACTGATGAGTTCTAAATTGACCTGGAAATACACATCAGTGCTTTCATTCATAGATGCAGGTAGTTGAATTGAGGTAGTGGGAGTGGGTGGAAGTTCCCCTGTGATTACAAATTATCATAGATGTAACATTTGGCCTGTTATTTATTTGACTTTAGATGAAACTTTACAGTTTAAATATGAACCATCCAGCCTCCTGATGCTAAAAACAAATGTATGTAGGTTGCCTCCTTCTCCCAAGGTACTGGGGTAAGTGTCAGTTAAAATGGGATGAGTGGAGTTTTTGTATCATCACGGTTCAAAAACTCTTGAGAACCATTGCTCTGATAAAAGAGTGCTAATTTCCACATTGCCATTCCTTTAAGGTCTGGCACTTAATAGGTGTTGGATATTTGTTGAATTAATGAACAACTCTAAAACAAAATGCAGTTTGGATACTTTGGTGAATGTCCCTCAAGTGGGCACAACCACTCCATAGTGCCAGCCAGCTGATGGTATGCAGTTTGAGTAATAGACAGGAATCCCATGATAGTTTTTGAACTCTATTCCTTTTATAGGGTTACCCTTCTGTGCTTGTATTATTGAGAATTGCAGAAAGATGTGATTAAGCTGGCCTGAAATTTGCCTCATCTGGTGGTTGGACTGCTTAGTGTTTACTTAGCAACATTAGTGTTGTCATAGGCAAATTAAGCATTGGGGATTTATTAAATTATGTATTCTCTAACAAACAGCACCTAAACACTGTAGCAGATTGAGTTTTATGCCCAGATTCTCGTTAGAAGCTTCATCCTTGCACCAGCAGTATTGCAATACCTCCGGCTCCACCTCAGATTTAATGAATCCGAATCTGCATTTTAACAAGATGCCCTGGTGATTTGTATCCACTTTAAAGTTTGAGAAGCACAACCTTAGGTAACCCTTTTTAAATGACAGTAAGATACAGTAAGTTGAGGACAGTGTCTGAGGGATGTGGAGAGGCACCCCTCTAAGTGTCAAGTAAAAGGAAATAAAATGTGCCTTCGGGTTAAATTTAAAACTAACACGTAGTGGAGTGTAGAGATATATACAGTCACTTTCTGAATGATTCCCAGGATGGACTTGGAGTGTGACCTAAATGAATAACAAGCATATCAAAGGAATTCTTGCGGGGCAGTTCCTGGCTGGAGGAGCCTGTGCTTTAATAGCTGCACTTGGACCTGGCCAGACTGATCCATCATCGGTGAAGAGGGAGTGATGTGTGTGACTGTGTCTTTATTGCCCTACATTGGAATATTTTAGCCTGAGACTTTTTATGGTCACTTCGAATAATGATAGCATATCCCTTTACTCTATTCATATTTTCAAGCTCACCAAGCCAGCT